AAAAGAATTTGGATCCTTATCTCATTCTATATATAAAAATGAATTTAAGGACAAGTCAGTGGTGCCGTGGTTAAGGCACCAGATCTCACATGGTCAACTATGTGGTTCAAAATCTGGATCCAGTGGCTTGAGAAATATGACAGATACATGTAGGTGGGCACCTAAAATCTCAAAAGGAGGGAGAAGTGGAAGAAAAGGAATTGCATCTTTTCCATTCCCCTACTCTCTTTGCAGTAAGAGCACGTGCCGACTGACAAAGGAAAAGAAATCGGGGCCAGTAGGTGATGCAGAAGTTAAGGTGGTTAGATCTTATATAGCCAGCTGCGCTGTTCAAGACCCAGTGCATGTGCATGTGTGCCCAAAATCCCAAAAGGAGAATGGAGAATAGACTGCAGCATGGTCATCCTTCAAGTGATATCTCACTTTTCCTTTCTCTCTCTCTGTCTCTACCCCGTGAGCACACACACTCTACAGCAAAAATTGAGGAAGACATAGATCAAAGCCCTAAACATAAGAGCTAAAACTATAAAACTGTTACACATATGTATACATTTTTGAGTCCTTGGATAAGCAATGGTTCTCAGGTATGATAATAAACCACAATCAACAAAAACAGAAAAATTAAAGATTTCAAGTCAGCAGGTGGTGTGGTGGTTACGGTGGCTGGATCTCATATAGCCAACTGTGTAGTACAAGTTCGGGACCTGGCAGCTAGAAAAACATGCTAGATGCATGTGTGTGCATGTCTAAAAGCCCAAAAGAAAGGAGAAATGGAGGAGAAGGAATGAAGATATGATAGTCCATGGGATGCTTTCTCACTCTCTTAACCTCTCTCTCCCTCTCTGGTGAACATGCCTCTGGCAGAATTTCACACAAAAAAAGAAAAGAAAAATTGGAACTTTAATAAAATTTAATGAACTTTAACATTAATAAAACTTTGAGGTCAGCCCATGGTATGGTACATAATGTTTTCCCACTCTTTTGAATAACGTTTCAAAGACAGTAAGTTAGGTCAGCTGCACAACTACTAAAAGTTTTGGAACCTTCAAAGATAGGGTAGGGGGGTCAAAAGGTAAAAATTGCTAAGAATCTGTGTTCAATAGGGCTTATAATAATTCAGTGGTCTGGTTTTTTGTTTGTTTGTTTGTTTGTTTGAAAGAGAGATTTTTGCTATGGGGCACATGTGCTCACTAGAGGGACAGAAAGATAGAAAGTGAGAAATCACTCCCTCAGAGGGGATGGCCATGCCACAATCCCTTCTCCTCCATTCTTCTCTTGGGATTTTGGGCATGCATATGCACCTGGCGTGAATTTTCAGCTACCAGGACCAGAACTTCAACCACGGTCAACTACATAGGAGTCCAGTGATGTAACTATTATGCCATCTGCTGGTCCCAATTCAGTGAGTTTTAGGAATAAAGGAAGCAATGCACTATTGCACCTGATCGGGCTAAATCAGGATCATGCCCCTGACAGAACAGAGACAACAGTAAGGTTCAAGGAGAAGATAAAATTGGGGTAGACTAAGGTAGGAGACAAGGGTCCTAAAAATGTAGTTAGGGTATAGGCCTAAAAAGGAATCACAAAATGGCTAAGTTTTAAGATGGGGACACGACAGCTTAGCTGCTTGCTCAGCCAAAATGGCTTGCAACAGTAACTCAATGAATAACCTAGGCAGAACAACTAAAACAAAGGCTTTTTTCCAGACCCCACCACATTATGGGAAGATAATGGGTTTTATTTCTGGACAAAGAAGATAATGGCTTAAAATTTCTGGACAAAGAATCTCCTGACCCACTCTAAAAAAAGAATGACTAGAGTGACCAGCAGAAGGCATAATGGTTATGTCACTGGACTCTCACGAAGTCAACTGCAATTCAAGTCCCATACCCAAAGGCTTAAAACTCACACCAGGCGGGGCCAGCGGATGGCTTGGTGATTGAGGCACCAGACCCCCACATGGCCGACCATGGTTCCAGTCCTGGACTCGGTGGCTTGCTTTCTCACTTTCTCTCTCTCTGGTCAAATATTAAAATAATAATAATAAATAAAATTAAGTAATTATTTAAAAACAAACAAACAAACAAACAAACAAATTCATGTCAGGCACGTGTGCGTGCATGCCCAAAATCCTGAGAGCAGAATGGAGGAGAAGGGATTGCAGAGCGTGGCCATCCCCTTGGGGGGAGGGGTGATTTCTCACCTTCTCTCTCCCTCTGTCTCTCTAGCGATTGCATGCGCCCTATAACAAAAATCTCTCTCTAAAAAAAAAAAACACAAAAGAATGACTAGGTACATCTATCATGTGACCCTCACCATGGGGGGTGGGAGTATGCATGTGTAAGTCCCACCTAAAACGAACCCAGACAAAATCCTTTCTGACCAAGATAACTGCCTTCCCCAATCCCATTTTCTCTTTGGCAATCCATTTTCTGGGACTCACTCCCTACTTGGGAGGTCTGTTCTTTCTTTCCTCTCTTAATAAACCCTTCTTACAGAGACCAGCAGTTAGCGTAATGGCTATGTTGCTGGACTCCCACGTAGTCGACAGCGGTTTGCATCCCGGACCTGGTGGCTTAAAACTCACGCCGGGTGCGTGTGTGTGCGTGCCCAAGATCCCGAGAGGAGAATGGAGGAGAAGGGATTGCGGCGTGGCCATCCCCCCTGGAGGGTGATTTCTCGCTTTCTGTCTCTCTGTCTCTGTCTGTCTGGCACGTGCCCTGCAGCAAAAACCTCTCCAAAAAAATAATAAAAATAAATAAATAAATAAACTCTTCTTACTATCCCCTCTGTGCCATGCCTCTAATTCTTTGTGAGCTGTAGACAAGAACTCATGCTATGCTAAGGGTGCTGGGCCTGATCACCCCAACATACCTCTAAGTCCTCACATCAAAACCAAACAATTACTGGGAACTAGCAGTTAGCGTAATGGCTGTCGCTGGACTCCCACGTAGTCGACCGCGGTTCGCATCCCGGACCCGGTGGCTTAAAACTCACGCCGGGCGCGTGTGCGTGCGTGCCCAAGATCCCGAGAGGAGAATGGAGGGGAAGGGATTGCGGCGTGACCATCCCCCCTGGTGGGTGATTTCTCGCTTTCTGTCTCTATGTCTCTCTCTGTCTGGCGAGCGCACGTGCCCTATAGGAAAACCTCTCCAAAAAAAAAAAAACACAATTATTAACAAGCTTCACGCTATATTTATTCTTTATAGTTGATCACTCCCTGTCAGAAGAGAAGAAATTCCAATAATTACCAGACTTTCAACTGTTACTTTTCATCACCAAAACACAAACTATCCAGAAAAAGAACAATTTCTAGAAGCTTCCACCTTTTCTATTTTTTTAAAGAATGATTTAACTTTATTTATCCATTTGTTTATTTTATTTTAATTTGATCAGAGAGAGATAGAGTGAAAGAGAGCCAGTAAGTGAGAAAGCAAGCCACCAGGCCCAAGACTCGAACCGCAGTCGGCCATGTGGGAATCCAGTGTCCTTAACTATCACGACACCTGCAGGCCCCCCACCTTTTCTATTTTAAGTTAATAAACTTTATTAGAAAAACTCTGTCATTTCATCTGAAAGCATTAATCAACAAATACACTCTGCACACTTAAAATAGTACTCATACCAATAATTTCCAGGAATGATCAAAGCACCTTACAAAAACAAACTGTAAAAGGAAAATTTGGGAGGCCAGGAAAAAAAGAGTACTTTCCAGATCAGGGATGAAAATTAAAGGCTTAATGAAGGAAGAAAGCCTTTCAAAGAAAAGAAATAGCATGAACAGAACTAAAAAAAAAAAAAAAAAGGTAAAGTATCCCAAAAAGAGTATTTTAAAGAGGAACAGTGCATAGTGTTTTGGCAAGGGAAAAGTAAGCATGAAAGCTAAAGACAAAGCTAGAACCAGTACAGAGGATTTTGAACACCACCATGCTGAGCCTGAATTTTCATCATATAGGCAACAATGTACTACCAGTGAGTTATGAGCAAAGGACAAAAACACTAACGATACTTTACAAAAATTAATCTAGTAGTGGGGCCAGTAGGTGGCATGGTGGTTAAGGTGGCTGGAATCCCACATGGCTAACCACGGTTCCAGTCCTAAACCTGGCAGCTTGGTCTCTCACTTTCCTTCTCTCTGGTCAACCTTGAAAAATAAAATAAAATAAAAATAATGACAATGCATAAGATTAAATAAAATAATTTGTAAAAATTAATCTGGTAATAGTAAATACAATGAAAATTGGAAGGGAACAGCTGAGTAGCAGAGACCAGTGAGAGGGTGCAATCAAGAGAAATAGAATTTTTTATATGCGAAAGGAGAGTTTCATATTTTTTTAAATTGAGATATGAGTGGGGTCTTCAAAAGTCTGTGGAAAATGCGTATTTCAAAAAAACACGCATGGGGACCAGAAGGTGGCACAATGGTTATGTTGCTAGAGTCCCACGTAGTTGCCTGCAGTTTGAGTTCTGGACCTGGTGGCTTAAAACTCAGGCTGGGCACGTGTGTATGTGTACCCAAAGTCCTGAGAGGAGAATGGAGGGAGGAGGACTGTTGCGTGGTCATCCCCCTGGGGGAGGTGATTTCTCGTTTTCTGTCTCTGTCTCTCTGTGTCTCTTCGGCAAGTACATGTGCCCTCTAACAAAAATCACTATAAAAAAAAAATGCATGGATTTAAAAATTTTTTGCATCAGGACCAACAGATGGTGTAATCGTTACATCGCTGGACTCCCACATGGTGGACTGAAGTTCAAGTCTGGGACCTCGCAGCTTAAAAATCACATCAGGCATGCGTGCAAGGGTGCCCAAAATTCCAAGAGGAGAATGAAGAAGGGATTGCAGTATGGCCATTCCCCCGGGGTTATTTCTCGCTTTCTGTCTCTCTATCTCTCCAGTGAGCGCACATGCCCTCTAGGAAAAAAATCAATAAAATAAAATTTAAGACAAATTCTATTTAATTCCATTGTCCATGAACTTTCTGAAGTACTCTCATATTTTAAGGGAATTTAATATAAAATAACTGCCCAAAGTAAGTCAAGGGGCTCCAGCCATTTGAGAGGCCATAAATACCTGTAAGAAAAGTTAGTGTATTCTAAAATCTGCACACCAAAACGGTTATCTGAGGCATAATCATGTACCAAATCAAAAGGTAGAATTGAAATGTAGTTACTATCAGCTCTAGAAAGTTCTCATTATTATACTAACATAAAACAATGCTCTTGGAAGTGACAGACAGTGTTTTAAAGACAAATATATTTCACATTTTTTTCTTTCCATCATCTTTATCAGTGCAGATATTTGCATGAAAACAGGATCCCTAGTCCTTGGGGATTCATCAGTTCCTACTGCTTATTTTTCATACATGTCATCGTCTCAATTAATGCAGGAAAAAGGATTAAGACATTGAAATGCCACATCAGAGTGTCGAGTAAAAGTCAACCCCTAGAGTAGATGAATAACCTGTAAGGGAAAAAAAAAAAAAACCTTGCTTTTATGCAAATACACTATGCTATGCACAAAAAAAAAAAAACAAGAG